ACTTTGTGGTATATTGTGATGCCTCTATATCGGGTTTGGGGGCGGTGCTTATGCAGAGGGGTCATGTGATAGCGTACGCTTCGAGGCAGTTGAAGCCTCATGAGTCGAGATATCCCACGCACGACCTGGAATTGGGGGCGGTGGTGTTTGCCCTCAAAATCTGGCGACACTATTTGTACGGGGTTCGGTGTACGATTTACACGGACCATAAGAGCTTGAAATACTTGATGGATCAGCCAAATCTGAATATGCGTCAGAGGAGGTGGTTGGATGTGGTGAAGGATTACGATTGTGAGATCCTGTACCACCCGGGCAAGGCTAATGTGGTAGCTGACGCTTTGAGCCGTAGGGCGGATAGCGCCCCGATCCGAGACATTTGTATGAGGTTGACGGTTTTGACCCCGATTCTGGATATTATTCGAGGGGCTCAGATGGAGGCTTCAAGGCCGGAACACCAGAAGAAGGAGCGGGTGGTAGGTCAAGTACCAGGATTTATCACGGATGGTCGGGGGCTTATGACTTTTCAGGGGCGGATTTGGGTGCCGTTTGTGGGCGGTGCGCGCACTATTTTGATGGAGGAAGCACATCGATCGAAATTCTCGATTCACCCTGGTGCCACGAAAATGTATTTGGATCTCAAGAAGGAGTATTGGTGGCCATGTATGAAAAGGGATGTCGCTTGGTTCGTCGAGAGGTGCTTGACTTGTCGGCAGGTCAAGGCCGAACACCAGCGACCGCACGGTAAGCTGCAACCGCTAGAGATCCCCGAATGGAAGTGGGAACAAATCTCTATGGATTTCATTACCAAGTTACCGCGAACGGCGAGAGGAGTCGATGCGATTTGGGTAATCGTGGATCGACTAACAAAGAGCGCTCATTTTCTAGCTATAAGTGAGAGCTCTTCTGCGGAAAAGTTGGCTGAGTTATATGTGAGGGAAGTAGTATCGCGGCATGGGGTGCCAATCTCGATTATTTCAGACCGCGACGTGCGTTTCACTTCCAGGTTCTGGAAGAAATTCCATGAAGAGTTGGGTACTAGGTTACATTTCAGTACGGCATATCATCCTCAGACAGACGGCCAGAGTGAGCGGACCATTCAGACGCTCGAGGACATGCTTCGGGCATGTGTGTTGGACTTCGGAGGGTGCTGGGACACCTATCTACCTTTAGCAGAGTTCTCGTATAACAACAGCCATCATTCGAGCATTGGTATGCCGCCCTTTGAGCTGTTGTATGGGCGGAGGTGTCGCACCCCATCTGTTGGGGTGAGGTGGGACAGCAGGTTATGGGTAGCACGGAGATCGTGCTTCAGACGACCGAGCAAATTCAGATGGTCAGGCAGAGGTTGCTGACCGCTCAGAGCCGGCAGAAAAGTTATGCAGACAGGCGACGGTCCGAGCTTGAGTTCCAGGTTGGTGATCTCGTGCTCCTGAAGGTCTCTCCTTGGAAAGGAGTGATTCGATTCAGGAAGAGGGGCAAGTTGGGGCCCCGGTATATTGGTCCTTTTCGTGTGATTGCAAGGGTGGGACGGGTAGCCTACCGTTTAGACTTGCCAGCAGAGTTGGGACAGATTCACGACACTTTCCATGTGTCGCAGCTGCGGAAATGTATAGCCGACGAATCAGCGGTGGTTCCGTTAGGAGATATTCAGGTGGATGCAAGTCTGAATTATGCAGAAAAACCTGTAGCCATCAGAGATCGGAAGATCAAGGTTTTGAGAAACAAGGAGGTGCCCCTGGTATTGGTTCAGTGGCAGCATCGGAAGGGATCAGAGATGACTTGGGAGCCGGAGCGGGAGATGCGGGAGCAGCATCCGGAACTTTTTGACTAAGCGGGACTTCGAGGGCGAAGTCTTATTCTAGTGGGGGAGATTTGTAACAGCCCGGATCCCCAGGTACCTTCATTTCTTTATATATTTTGGCATTCTGTGAGGGGACTCGGCGAGTTGGTGGTTGAACTCGTCGAGTCGGGTCGCGGTTTTTAGCGGGGGTTCGCGTCCGGACTCGGCGAGTCCAAGGGATGGACTCGACGAGTCCGTGCTGTTTAATGAAACCCTAATTCCCCGGCCCTAAGCTCTATTTAAAGGACCTTATGGCCCTCATATGCGGCCACCTTGAACCCTAAGAGCCTCCATACGTCTGTAAGCCCTTGTGTGTGTGTTTGAAGGCCTCTTGTTCTTCATTTTGTGTGTTAGTGCAAGGAAAGGAGGGAGAGGAGCAAGCTTGAAGTGTTGGGGAGCTTAGATCTGTTGCCATTTCATCAAGGGGGTCTTCTTGAGGTAACTTTCTGAGCCAATCTTCGTGTTTTGTGTTGATGGGCCAAATCTAGGGTTTCTTCTTGCCTTTCTTGGCTTGAATAAGAAGTATGAGAGGTCCCATGGAGACATGGAACCTAGATCTGGACTTTAGCAGGTCCAGGAGACCCTTATGACAAGCTTTATGCCCATCCATTTGAGTTAGAAGTTATACTTGCCATATTGAAGGTTGTTTCTTCAAAATAAGCCTTGTATGCATTGCATGGCAACCAAGACTGAGACTTTACGTGACAAATAAGCTTGGGAAGGCCAGATCTATGTATTTATGGAACGGATCTGACCGCAAGAGCCAGTTTTAGCTGGTGCATGGCATGGACTCGCCGAGTCTGAAGAACAGACTCGACGAGTCACTTGAAGATTGTCCTTGAGACCATCTTGTGTGTAGACTGGACCGAGTTGTGGGCGACTCAGTGAGTCGCAGAGAGTTGGAAAGGTTTTGACAGGTGGACCGAGTCAGGATGGGACTCGCCGAGTTGGCCTTAGACTCGGCGAGTTGAGTCGCGGTGACCCTGTGATTCAGGCCCAGGTGGAACTCGTCGAGTCAGGGGAGTACTCGACGAGTCAAAGGGAAAATTCTTGAGAGTTGGTAAAAACGCGTAGACTCGCCGAGTCACTATTGTGCACTCGCCGAGTCTAGTCCTAATTAACTAAAGACTGCTGACCGGGTCAACCGGTGTTGACTTGGGTTGAATGGTCCACCTTAGTGGTACAAGTAATATTTATAGATATATATATATATATCGTAGGAGGATTTCAGCTCGAGGGTTCGAGCCCGAGTGATTCCAGGATTTACGGGTAGCAACTTAGCGAGGCATACGAGGTGAGTCTTCTCACTATACTGTACCCGGAAGGGTTTTGACTATGTGACCGGAAGGTTCGAATATGATATGGAATATATGCTTTATGTGTATTAAGTTAATTGCTATATGTGATATGTGTGATACGTTTGATATGGGCCGGAAGGCGTGGTCATATGGACTGTAAGAATTGATGTGGGTAGGACCGGAAGGTTTACCCAGTCGGGATGGAAGTCCCCTGAAATACATGGACCGGAAGGTCAAGGCCTGGAAAGGCGTATGTGCGTATGTTGTATTTTGGGAACTCACTAAGCTTTATGCTTACAGTTGTTGCTTATGTGTTTCAGGTGCGAGTGAGGACCGTGGGAAGGCGCCAGCGTGATCGTACACACACTCGGGGAAAACTATTTTATTTTTGTTATGTAATCGTTGGAGACTACGACGTTATTTTGGAAATCTAAATTAATTACTCATGTCTTAATGGTTGTAAAAATGAAAATTTTTTGGTTGGAAATTTT